GATTGGCTGAGAAAATTAACAGATGGAAGTCAGTCAGAGAGAAGAGAGAAAGAGAGTGAATTAAAAAAAAGAGAAAGGTGTAGCTAGAGGGACAGCAAGTGAAAGAGGGAATAAAGAGCAAAAAAAAATGCATAGCGAGTCCACATCTGAGAGGCAGAGCCTTTTTCTCTGCCACAATTTTTGCACCACTAAGGCTTTGAGTCCCAATTTCTCTTCTCTCTCCCCCCCACTTGCTTGTACTTTGGCAGCTAAGCTTCAGCGCGTGTCCACTGATGGTTAATATGGAGCTGCCTGAGAGAACCCCCTCCTGAGAGACTACATGTGCTGTGGCTCAGTAAAGCACATCCTAACTATATCCAGCCTGCTCTCACCAGCATCGCAGCACGGTCTTGACACCAAATAACTGTGTCCATCTGGAAGGCCAATCCACAGGTCAATCCACAGGATCAGACAAGAGGATTTTTTTGTGCAAATTATGCAATGAAAAACAACTCAAAGAATAATCATTTTGTGCTGTGAACTCTAGAGTACTCAATCCTCTGGGGGCACATTATTCTTCTGAAGACCTTTTGCAAACTGTAGCTTTTCTGTGAATATATTTTTGCCGTTCTTTCTCAGCAGGCCCCCATTTGCATTTTACAGTGACAACAAAAAATATACGGTAAACGTATCGTGATGGAACCTTTAAGAATGAAGAGGAGTCTGTTGCACACCCAGACCATTTGAGCAGTTTAGTTACCAGTACCTGCCCAGGGTTTGAGAGCATTTACTTCAATACTGAGAACCATCCTCTGCCTCATGATGAACAGTGCTGAGGAACCTCAGGTCACTGCTGTTTCTTTCTTTGCTTCTGCTTTTCTTAAACGTTCTCTGCTTCTGCTCTGCTCCGATGCTCCATTCAAAAGTTCCTAGCTCCTTTTCAAATAGAGACTGGCACACCTGCTCTGCTCCACCTTGTTTGGTCAGAGAGAACACTATTCTGGGCAGAAATTGAAGCAGAGCTGAAGTAATTATGTCCATACATATGGTCTGTATTCTGTGGGTCTGGTTGCTTTGCGGCAGAATGGTTTTATTTCCAGCTACATTTAATATCAAAATGGCAATCAGACTGGTCATTTACGTTGCCCCAGCCTGCTTCTTCTCTGTCCTGTGGGGGCTGTGTTGTTGAGGGCTTAGCCTTTTGGTTCATTTTATTTGAATCTAACGAACTTTCTCTTGCATCATATACAGCATCCCAAAAGAGCTAATGAGCTCATTGTGGTTTTATATTCCGGATAGCAGTGGTTGGGTAAGTCCTTATTTTAGTTATCATTGTATTGGCCTGTAACAAAGGCACCTTCTGTATGGAAATAAATAACAACTGTCACGGAGCTTCAGAAACTCTAATCCACAGCCCTGGTGATATCAATGAGAAGTGAAGCTTGAGCCATAAGTTCAGTAGAGCTACCTTGCTCTCCCTATCTGACTATTGCTGCCTTGCTCTTGCAATCTTGCTGCCTCATGTTTGAACTTGCCATGTAACTTAGTCAGAAATCTGGTTTTCTGAAAATAAGCCATCTGAACCTCTTGATCTAACTGTAACCGACTCCTAGGCATCCATTATTCTGTATATAAACCACCTGAAACCCTCAATTAGTATCTGTCTGTAACTCTGTTCTGAGAATCCTTTATTTGGTTTCTAATGTGACTGAAATCTTCACTCTGAAATTGTAACAGAATATAATAAATTCTATTATTTAGGGCTTGTACTTTTTTTTTAATCCCATGCAAATTTTCATTCACTTTATATGTTAACTACCGCACCAAACAAAGACACCCAAACTTCTTGTCCCTGATCCAGAATTTTGCATATTGCTGAATGAGCACTTTCCTGCAATAAATGACAAGACTTTTTATATAGTATGTTTGTGTTCAGGGTGGACCTGGTCGGTAAGGTAACACTTACTTCCTGCTCCAAAGGAGCCAGATACTCTGGCTGACATTTCTCATTTCTGAGTAGCAGCAAAAGTCACGGTAGATTTGTGAAGGAGCAATTCGGAGAAAAGACGATGTTAACGTTTTTTTATTTACATCTTCCAACCAGAGTATGAATAGTGTGTTTTGTGTGTAGTTCTCCAAAGTGGCAGATAGTACTGAGTCCTGTTGAACAAGTAGCCCCTGACCTGGGAAAATTGTCCACTTCAATCAGGGCAATAATGTTTCATTTGATTTAGTTGGTCTGGGACTGTAGCTTATATTTAATAGAATCATTTGCCACTGAATCTTACACCTACAACTAGTCATGTAAAGGTACTGTGTTTTTAGCTGTACCCATCAATTTCAAAATTGCCGTATCCAGTGCCTGAGTCACTTTTAGGCTAAGGCAATAACTGATACAATGGGTTTCAATAATCATAACATCTTGGATCTAAATCGAAGCTCAAACTGGAGGGATGTTGAGATCCAAAGAGAGTGGAGATTGGGGTCCCTGTCAATCTAACGGGTGCTTGAAGCATGGCTACAATCCAGAACCTAACAAAGTCTATTCCTGACCTGGGAGCTGGATGGCAACGTTTCCCTAAATTTAACCTGCTTTGTAACTGACCAGGGAGTGCAGTACAATAAAACAAAACCCCTGTAAATTGAAGCTCCATCCATCACCATGAGAAGTAAAAACATACAGCACACAATTTGTTTAAAAAACAAAGCTGTTTAATCATTCATATTTCGGAATCAGATGCATCTGAAACTATGGATGAAAAATCCAACCTGACATGGGCATTCTTTCATTTTCAAGCAAATGAATAAAACCAGTTATATTCTCTTGTGGCCCGAGGCTATTATTTCTAAACGTAAAATTTTATTACGTGGTTTATTTAGAGGTCACCAAAACACTGATCTAATCTAGGATAAAGTACCAAATACCAGAGGCTATTTTGTTTAAAATTTTATGTTATTTAAATGGATTAATGGAAGCGATAGCTGCAAACTCAACTAGTGGAACTGCTTTGATTGACAAGTGACAGCATGCAAATTGTGACAGAATACAACTGGTATCAAACCAGGACTGGTACTTTATTTGCTAGTATTGATACTGCATAAGTGGCAGAGCCATGGGAGAATGGGATTCAGATTGTTTTTAAGCGCACTATAGTCTCCCAAAGGACCTCTGAGCAATGTACCATTCCAACAGACCTCAGTTATTAAACATTTGCAGGTGCAGATTTTTTTTCTCTCCATTTGAATAATGTGAATATTGGGGAGGAAAAATGTATGGAAAATTTAAATCTATACCCATGAGTAAGACACATGTATAAGAAATTGCTGGTAAGGGCAGATTCCAGACATGCTTTGTGTCAATTCTCATAAACACTAAACCCCCCGCTGGATGGATCAGTGCAGGCTGTCGGGTGGGTGGACGAAGGAGGGGTTAACTGTATATTCAAGCCCCACGTCGGGAATTGGATCCCATATAATCTGCTGACACACCAATGCCGTACTGGGGATGTGCTGTGTTGTCAGATATGCTTCGGATGAGATGTTAAACTGAAGACCCGTGAGCCTGCCCGTGTGGATGTTAAGATCCTGTGGCACTATTTGAAAAGAGAAGGGAGTTTGTCCTGATGTGCTGACCAACAATCCCCAAATAAACATTGTCACTCACTATTTTTGGGACATTGCTGTGCGCGAATTAGCTGCTGCTTTCGCCCGCAAAAGACACACAGCTACTTTACCTTACAGTCTATCCTGTGAAGAGCTTTGAGATATCTTGATGATGTGATAAGGCGCTGTATCAAATGCAAGGATTACTTATGTTAGTATGAGGCAGGCTTTTTAAAATATGGATTTTGTAACCTGACCCTTCCACTATGTCCATTTTTCCTCCCTTAGCTCTACATTATGTGGCTCTCCTCTCCAAAACAATGCCACAATTCCCAATTGATATGGATATATTTGCATGGCAGTTTGAAGCAGTTGTCCCAATCCTTACAATGTGAGGTTCAACAGGTTCCAGCTCTTGGGTAACTATCAGTCACTTGGAATTCTCCACAGTAAAGGCAAAAGTGGCAGCCAAGAAAGCTGCACTCACACTGATGCAGTTAAAAACTGCAACCATTTTCTATGCTGTGTTTCAGTGCAGATCTGTATTCAAATGGATTATGAGACAACAATCAGAATATAAAGGTAAACCTTCAGAAACTAGCGTGCGTAATTAAGGTAATTCATCCTATACATTCATCTTTTTGTTGGTTTTGAAAGGCATAGTTAGGCTGCATAACTTTGCAGTGAGGTCAGCAATGTTGCAAAGTTTGCCGATTATTTGGAGAATCTCCCAATAGGATGAAACATTAGGATAGCATCCCATTAAAATGGCAAATAAAGGGTAGTAACACCCAATTACTAAGCAGTTTCTTTTCAGGGGAACATGATCCAGGTCAGCAGCCTATTTGTGTTGGAAGAGAGTGGAATTCAAGGGGAAAGGCTGATGATAAAAGTCCTGAATCAGCACTTAGATGAAAAAGATCTTTCCCTCACAGAGCAGTAGGTCTATGGAACAGATTCCAAACAAACTTAGTGGATGCTGTTTAGATTAACTTAAAAAAAACCTATGTGTAAGAAAGCATCATTATTTAGGTGCAGACAGAGGTAAACAAATAGTCCCTGGGACACAATGATTTTTGTGCAACTAGGGCTGGGTGGAACAGATTTTATGGAGAGAAGGTTTGAACAGTGGGCATGGATTTCTGGAGGTTCAAGAGGGTTTTTGCACTTTCCTCCAAGAGATGGAGCAACTGGATGTAGCGCAAAGGGTACGCTTTGCGTCGACTGTGGAGGGAGGGGAGTTCTGAAGGGAAAAGGTCATTTTGCCATGAACAGGCCCCTCGCTCTGCCGTTAAATCTATGGCAATTCTTCAATGCTTCATCTTTTCTCCCCATCCCTTTGCATTGAATATGTTCCCTGCTCAGGTATTCATTGTACACTTCACATGAAATAATAGAATAGAAAGACACCAAAGAACTTTTTTAAAACTTTTTTTAATTTCTATTCATTTAACAAAAACATTCACTTTTTTCAAACTCTACTCATTCGCTGCCACATTGCCAACTGTGGTGCCACATGATAGTGCCCATGCCCACTTTTTACACTGCAAGCAACAATACCATCAACGATACCATATCACAATCGGAACACAACCCACCCAGGCAGCCATAGCGGGCAATGTGGTCCAAATGCGTCGAGTCAAAGGGACTATGTCAGTTATGTCCAATGGAGTTTCACTGCATTTTATGCAGCACAGTCAAGAAGATAACAGAGGAAACTCAATAAAGTTTTTATTTCATATAAACATTAAAAAAATCACATAAATAAACAAGCTAAAAAAAAATCTCATGCAAATTTACAGGAGTCAGAACTTGCCATGCTGTATTGAAAAGCTTGTAGTGGAGACAATCTGAAGCACAGGCTAACCTCGGAAGGACAACTGACATCATAGTCTGTGGCTATAAGGAGCCAAGGTGGAGACTCGATCCAATGTGTCCCAATCTGGTTAGTGTATATGTTAGCCTCTGTTTTCTCATTGATTGGATCATTATTACATTCTGTGGGTTGCAAGGTTATTTCAATTGAAAATCTTCACAAAATGACAATTCCTTCCCCCCTTCAAGAGCACCAGCGCACTACACAGGATGGTGTTTGGATTTATTTACACACTGGGTGCAGATATAAAGCAACCTGAAATAAAATTGCTCTCAATGCAAAGCCTGTAGCAGAAGAGGAAATTGGGAAACAGCGTTCCTCCAGCCCCGAGGGACTTGTTTGCATTAATTGTATAGTCAAAATGGTGGCCATTAACCATGCTCCTTCAATTCAGATGAAATTATTCTGCAGTTTCAGGAGTGAGTCAGTCGAGAATATCTTGTGGACAGAACAAATGGCAACATGAATAGAATCACAAAAACAAAAATAACACGGAGGAGTTTTGCTGAAAGGATAGTCTTGAAGACCACATACAACTCCTTGCTCCCCCTTCCAAATCATTGGGAATCTGGTGCACATGTGACCACAACAACACAGTGTTTATCTCCCCAGTTCGATGGTATGCAAACCTAGCTCTGAAAGTACATGTCTCACTTCCAAATCTATTTAGACCAAGGCTGACTGAGAGCGTGTAAAAGGCAATTCATTTTTTTCCATTAACGTGATCTTCCAGAGTCACGTGCAACCACCGCAGAGCAGGTAGATTTATATATAGATGTGTGTATATATAATATATATTTTATAAAGTTTTACACTTTACTTCAGAGACTGGGCCCAGTCACACTACAGCAGCAACAGTTCATCTGAACATTGGAAATAATGATAGACTGCAAACAGGAGACATGTTGTTCCTTCTGCACATTTGTGTCAATTGTTTTGTTTTATAGAAGCATCAGACCCAGCTCAGAGAGTGGCCAGTTTGGGCAAACTCTGGGCTCAGTCCATACCTCAATAACATGAGATTCTATGATCGATGAAGACCCTTCAGTAAGCAGGGCAGCTTGGACTATCTTGACACACTCCCAGATGGGTATAGTACAGGTTAGCTACAAAAAAAAGCTCCCTCTATACTATCCAGCACTCTCAGGTCAAGTACAGCATGGGTTACAAAGTAAAGCTCCTATCAGTGTAAGGGGGTGGGGGAAAGAGAGAAAAGATCAGTAGTATATACACAAATTGCATACTTTAGGCTTTCAAGCTGTGGAGCTCACAATTGATGACTTTAAAAGCATGTTTCACAATTGTTTTAACAGTTATTGTACTTTCCTTCTTCACAATCAACAATTATGATTGTGGAGCACTGTGGGCCTTAAATGTTACAGTCTGAAAATGCAGTTATGGGTGAGTTATTAGTGGAGAATAAACCATCTTGACGCACTCCCAGATGGGTATAGTACAGGTTAGCTACAAAAAAAGCTCCTCTATACTAATTCTATCCAGCACTCTAAGATCAAGTACAACATGGGTTACGAAGTAAAGCTTCTCTACACTGCTCAATACATATGCCTAAAATCTCATCTCAGAAGAGCATCCCTTACCCTGATTGCAATTTGCATTCTCTTTTTCAACTACTCCTTTCTAATCTCCCTCAGTGAGAATGCAATTGCTCTGTGCACCTACAAGCATAAGGAACTGAGTTCAATGCTTTACACAGTCAACAGAGAGGTTAGAGTTTAAAAAAGTACATCAAGCAGTCCTCAAGAGAGGGTTAGCATTCAGAACTAAAGATCCAAACCAATCCCATTTCTTGCAACATGACTTATGAAAAAATTACATTGGTATCTACGCAACATTATTTATACTTCCACTACTTTCTCCTCGTCACTTTTGCCCTTGTTAAAATGCCTTGCACTCAGTCAGCCAGTGCATTGTGTGGCTTGTACAGTATATTGGGTGCTAAGGATTAATTGCCATTGCTGGATGTTGCGGGCAGATTGCGACGTCATTGTCTGAGATCACTCTCATCACAAATAGAATGAATGCAACCTGGTTTATAATTGCATAATCGTTTAATTTTATGGGATAGTTCCTTTCTAAAAATATTTAATTACATTACTTTTTTGTGGTAATCTGAGTAAAACTAGTTAGACTTGTATTTTAGGCTGAGTAGCGACCAGACTCGCGGTACATAGCTTGCAATAAATTCACTTGGTTCCTTAGATCTGTCAGCATATGATGGCTTATGGAGCTCACAAATTTGCCATTTCTCCTATCTTTGGATGGAATACAGGATGCAGGATGCAGCAGATATAATATTACCCTTTGAAAGTTATAGACAAACTACATTTCAGCGAGTGCCTTCTAAAGAACATGTTTTATGGGATTTTTTAGCCAGTGAAGCATCTGAAACCATCGTGTACATAAATCTGGAAACTGATATTACAACCATTAAGGGTTGGTAGATTTTTCAGATACAATGGCTTTTATATCAGAAGCTATGTATGGTGTCTTAGATGTATAACAGTAGTATATTTTAAAGGGTTTATTATTAATGAGGCATAGGTAAATGTTTGATTGGAGAACAGAGTAAATTTGATAGTGTTGCCGTGAACTGTTACTGCTAGAGCTTTTCGGGCGTGTGCAATGGGCCACTGGATGTCAATACGTGCTGTTTCAGTGGAGGATTAGAATACCGTGGGTCAGAGCTGCTTTGTACTAATGGATCCTTTAAGATGGATTTTTTCAATATAGGTTCAAATGCAATGTTAACAGACTGCCTGCTTATGCCAATTTTTTTTAAAAACAAGATAACTGGAACCAGTCCATATTTACAGAAGTAGGGTTCACTTACATTCACACACATAACACATACCACACACAACACACAGAAACAATTTTGCCTCTTGCCAGTAGTTAATTGTAATAGTTTGCAAACTAAGAAACCAAATAAACAAGCAGCAAGATAGGCTTCAGTTGGGACAGCTAACCAATCACAGACAGCATTCAAAGGAGAAAAGTATCAGGGTAAGGGCATTGAGCAGGTTGAACCCAACTCAGCATCTGGGAATCAGATCAGGATTGTAGCCTGATTTTGTATGTTGACAGTGATTAAGTGATCTCATTCTGGAAAGGGTAGACTGATCTCTAAAAGCATTCTTGTCAGTAATCTGCCATTGCCGTAATACACTGGATTGAATATCATATTATTGTTTACTGCCTCCAGTCTCTTCCTTCTGATCAAAGGTTCTTCTGGCAGTTCTGAAAGGTAAATATCTTGAAAGAAAAGTGTCTTATTTACATTGTGGCCCACGGTGCTATAGACATACAGAGTCTTTCCCAAGCAATTGTCTCAAGCCTTCCCACATTTTCCTTTCTTCTCTTTCCGTTGGAATTTCCGAAGTCGTCTTGTCCAGACATCCCGCCACTGAATGACAAGGCTGTTCTTATCAGCCACCAGTCCACCTAGCCGCTCAGACGAGCTGTCGGTGTTGCCCATCACCAGGTACTTTTTTGTCATCTGAATTTTTGGACACTTGCAGGCCAGGTCCTTCATGTTAATCCATAGGAACTGATCACCCCGTTTAATGCGCTCATCCCTGCTCTTGTACACGGACACAATATTCACCGTGAACTTTGCCCAGTCACCCACAGTCTCCATATCTAGAACACTGACCTGAACAGCTGGATTGTCGAAGGGAAGGAAAACACAAAAATTAGTCAGGAATAAACTCAGGATCTTACAGCATCTGATAACCATTAACAAATGTCCTTTCATTGCGGTCCAAAAAAAGAAAAACACTTGTTTAAAATGTTCAGCATTTTGGTTGGACTATATATTTCAAAACATCTTCAGAAATGAGCATAACTTCTTCTGGATGACACCGAAATCTACTTCTCTTCCTCTAGTTATGATTCTAGGTTCGCATGAAGCGCGCAAAATAAATGCAAGTTATTGTTGTTATACAGGATGACCAAAAAGTTGTGATGCCATTACAATGCCCAATTAGTCTTAAAGAAATTATGTTTTTTTTAGATAATAGGGTAGATATCACAACTTTTTGATCACCCTGTAGACATCGGGAGGATGTCCCCAATCTTCTGACAATGCTTGCTGCTAATTGGAGCTAAAGGGGTTGGGGAAGGGAAAGATGACCAAAAGAGGTATGTCTTGAGACAGGCCTTGAACAAGGGGAGGAGAGAGAGCAGGTCGGAGGGACTCCGGGATGGGTCGGGATAGTTGAAGGAGGTTGGAAGGATGGGGTGAGATGGTAGAGTGATTTGGACATGAGAAAGAGGATCATGAACTTGAGCCACTGAAGAATGGGGCAATAGGCTCACTAGTGTATAAAGAGAAAAGGGAAGCATGCGAGTGTTAATGCAGTGAAAGAGAGTGAGAGCAGCTACAGAGACAGAGGGTCAATAAAGTGTATTTCAATTATTTTTCATCCAACCAAAACAGTTTTCGAGCTACAGAATCATGGAAGAGCCAACATCCATAAAAAATGAAAGATTGAGACATCTCAATAATGCACCTCCACTGTTGTTTTTATTAGATACAAATTTTCATCAGCTATTTCTTGTGAAGGTAGGCTGTGATAGTAACTACCATGAGATGTGCTGACATCCATAGTTTCTGCACATTTTTATACTTTGTGCTAATCCTGTAAAACATGGGATCGTGCCAACAACAATATAAATAGTACATCCAATATAAATGGACCTTACCGTAATCTTTCTTGCAATACTTTTTCATATTGATTTTCAGGTTTCCTTTTGGAGGTTTGCAGTAGGATTCACAATCTGGGGGAAGAGACGAGAGGCAGTCTTTACTGAATGCAATTGTTCTCAGTTACCACAGATTCTCATACATTTATCTATTGTTCTGCTTCACCACATATTTTGTGCACCCTGTGGGTTGGAGTGAGCTTTGCGGAAGGGGTTATAGACCTCCCTGGCGAGCGGTGTCTGAGTGGGCCATTGTGGCTGACTGTTGTGCTGCGTGCAATTTGATTCTTAATCTGCATTGCGTTAGCCGATCTTAACAATAGGTCTTAGAACCCTTGGGCTGCGGGGACGACGACGATGAAAATTGAGCCAGAAAAATATATGAGTGAGTGAATAGAACCAGTCTGGTACTATTCACTCGCATATATTTTTGCACCCCACCATCCAATTTCCTGTCTGTGCTCGCTTGCTCATCTAGAGTCACAGGTGAAAAACAGAAACTGGAGTGAGGTACCTGCAGGCTGCCAGGACTTACAAAACCGTACCAAAACAAGCCAATATCTACAGGAGAGGGGAAAAAAAGCTAAAAAGAATGAAAAATGTTAACTGTTAGATCAGTGGTGGCCAACCTATGTCTGCGAGCCAGAAGTGGGGAAGTCTGTGTTATCGACCCATTGATCAGTAGTTTGTTTTCAGTTTTTTCTTGATTGAATGTTTCTTGATTGATGGCATATACCAAGAAATATTCAGAAATTCAATCACGAAAATGTAATTTGTTGGCCGACCGTAAAGGTTGGCCACCACTGTGTTAGACGGTGTGAGGTAATGAATAGAAATTTTACACTATGAACACACCTCACCCTCATAAACTACAGTGATTTTCTTGCTGTTTTGAGGTTTGATCTGCTGAGTTGAGAAAGATGATGGGAACAAGCAGTTTGGAATAACACAGCTTGTTATAACAGAGTTTTCCTGCCTTTCCATTTTACTGATGACTGATACATTTACAGCTGCCATTTCAACTATAACAAGCCTGAAAATACCACATCAGTCGAACTGTTCAGACTTTGTTTTAAATAATGAAGGGGTTTTGTCAGACTCTTTCTTAAACACAGTGTGAGCGGAAGCCCATGCCAGAGTGACTGAAGTGTTATAGAGCTCAGGCCAAGTGTTGAGACTGTCGTGGCCCAGGGCTGCAGAAACCAACCCAGACTGTAAGGAAGAAGCTAATGTATGGCAAACTCCTTCTTATAGTGGTTACGGAACTGCAATCAGCAAGCATCACTGGCTCTTGACAATAAGAGGAGAACAGTATAACAGCCCCTCCTGGGCTGTTTCTCCTCCTCAGCACTCAGATCTTTAGAGCTCTTTATAAACTTGTTAATGCTGGACGGATCACCTGCTTCTCTGTTTAAATGAGAAATTCCTCATCTCCACCATTTATTCTGTCACAAACATCTACTACTTTATCTCTAATTAATTCTTTCCATATTATTCTCTAAGTACATTCACTGCACCAACATTTTGCCCACGTATTGCAATGAGCCCAAGCAACTGACTGCATTGAATAAATGCACCTTTTGTTACACCAGCTGCATTGAGCCTAAAGGTATTTGTGTGGCTTAGTCACATTACAACCTGGCCAGAGATGCCAAGCTTTGTTCAGCATTAATCACTGGCCTTTCACTCATAATTTGTCATTCATAAGCTCAAAGCAGCACAAAAAGACAAAATGATTGATATCTGGAAGACTTCCTTTCACCTTGTCCTCAGCCTGCAGATTCTGAAGCCGAGTATGCCACTGGGAGATTTGCAACTCAACTAAATTTGGGGGTGAATAATTTCTCCAGAGCTTTCTTTCTTCCACACTTCTGCTTGTAATGACAGAATTTGCTACTGCTGATGATTTTAAATGCTTCACTTTTTTAAAAAAATTGGTTCCCTGCTATAGAGAATGGCAAACGTAATCACACTGCAACAAAGAAAAACATCCCACGGGCCTTTGTTTTGTGACTGTCTTTAAGATTTTGCAGGACTGACTTCCAGTGGACTAGACCCAATCTGGCCCAATTTTCTCTTTCTCCACAAGCATTAAGTTTTCCGGGTTAAATTGGTTTGCGGCAGTCTCGACTGCTTCAGATGACACTATTTGGCACAGCTGAGAAAGAACAGTGAAAGGCCACAGAGCACTTCAGTATCAAGGTTGAAAATTAGATGCAACAATGGAGAGGGGTGGTTAGCTGATGCTAAATCATTAGATTGTGGAAGGAAGGACAGAATGAGGAAAGGAATGACCACAGTTTTGAGGTGCTGGGAAAGAGTGAATGAGGAGTTCAATGATTCTTGCATATGAGGGTTGGGGTGTAAAGAGAAAATATCACCAACATGTGCCTGGTCCCACATTGGTTCTTTGACATGTCAACAGGAAAAACATGAAGAAAGAATCCAGCAAATGGGGCCCACCCCATATAATAATCTGTAAAATAACCCCTGGATCTGGAGTATTTTGATACAATCTACTGCATCCAAACATTTTTGATCAAGCCTAATTTAACATTTGTAAGCAATACTAGGAATGCAAGAGTTGAATCTGATGTGTCTTCAAATATCTTCATGCCCTGCCATCTCCCCACCTCTCCGACGTGCTTATTCCCCAACCCCCCCTACCCTCTGCCACCACTTGACTGGCTCCAGCCTCCTGCATGCCCCTCATGCCCTCCGTTCCACCATCGGTGGCTGTGTTTCAGTCACTATACCCCCAAAACTCTGGAACACTCTTCCTCTATCCTTGCCCCTTCTTTCTCCATCTTCAGATCGGGCTTGAAGACCTTCCTCTTCGACCCTGCCTATAGTCACCTCCCCTCAGCTCAGCACCATGCTCCGCCACCGTCAAGCGCTCTGGGACAGTACACTGCGTGAGGGGTGCTATATCAATGCAAGTTATTGCTGTTGTCTGTCAGCAAGCTAGAGTTTTACCTGAAAATAAATATACCTTTTAACCTGCACAAATTTGAATATCTGTATCTTACATACCCAGGAGCTTTGTAATAGTGCAAGGTACAGAATAACTAAAGTTTGACTATTCAACGAATGTGTTCCAATAGAAAATTCAGAGCTTGAACTGCAGCCCTACACTCTCTGCTGGCTGTTTGATGTTCATACAGTCTGTTAACCTCTTGGTGCCACTGATTGAGCAGCTCCTTGGTACTTTACTCATTTGATCATTCTTCATGTGCAAGGCTGTGCAGTGAGGATGCAAAATTACTTGGATAACTATTGCAGTGTTCAATGTCAAAGTCACTATTGTTGATATGAAATTCTCATCACTCAACCACTCTGTCTTAATTTATAATTATCCTTGCATTTGATATAGTACTTTATTTCACTGTCAAAATATCTAAAAGAGTTTCCTTCATAAGTATACGTTTGTAGCTGAGCAGTCTTATTTATCCCATTTCCCCAGAGGCATTGAGACCAACTCCAGCACACCCCACCACTCTCTCCAAAGTTACCAACTCTCTTCCAGGTCAAATCAGATACCTGCACAAACCAGGAATTATACCTGGAACCATTGTAATCTGAAAGGTTCAGTGGTATAGCACGCTGTGCATTAGTCAATAAGGAAGCAGAACAGTTGAAATTCCACCTAGTCGTTTGTTGCAGGTCTTAAAGGAGACATTTTTAAATGGAAACATTAACACAGTATATGCATTGTGCTCTTACTGTTATGAGGTGGTTATGCTGAGTCCAGAAGCAACACTATAATAATAATCCTTGTATTTGATATAGCGCTTTTATCAAGTCTTTGAGATGTCTTCACAGAACATACTGTAAAGTAAATTGACTGTATATTTTGAGGGCGAAGTGCGTCAGCTAATTGCACACAAACAGTTGTGGATTGAGTGGGTGAATTATTATTCTAAGTGAAAGAATAATGGACCTTACCATAAGGTGGAGATGGTGATGGACAGAAAGCATTTTTCTTGACCATCACCAGCAAGTTAGTGGTTCAGTACATATTGTACATTTGCTAATGCTCCACAAGTTTACTCACGTCCCATGAAAACATTGTTACCCAATTTTTGTGCATATTTTGGCACATGGCTTTGTTATTTCTCTAGTGCTTTAGTTTCTACATTCCTAAGCCACACCTGCTCACCATTTCAGCCTATAAAAAGTTTTTTGAATGACAGTTGTGTAGTTAGAAGCCAAATTCACATCATCTTCAAGCTTCTGGGCCCAAAAAAATATTATTTTATGCTCAATAGTCTCACTATTCACACATATTTATACAAATTTTGAATATTTTGTTATGGAGGAGAAGAGGGAGATGCATCTATTTGTACTCAATAGAGTGACAGATATTGAGACCAGAATGTTTTGAGTACTTATATACTCAGCACTCGCAAGTTAGGGAGGTACAGCACAGGTTAGATATCCTTGGTGTCAGACACAACCTTCATTAGCTACCGTATAAACCTCCTCTTTAGTGGCCCGTCCTATAAACCCAGGTCAAGTACAGCACATGTTAGATACAAAGCAAAGTTACCACTACAAGATCTATCAATATACTTGAAAATTCCATTTCTAAGCAGAGGTGATTTTCTATTTTTCCTCATCCATTCACTATGTGGTCCAGTAATAGACAATTTAGTGCCAAATTAAAGCCCCGAGGAATGTGCATGTGGCTGCTGTGTGGGGAAGGGGGGAGAAACTGTTTAATGAGACAAAGTGGAGATGCTGGGATAGGTAGGAATGAAACCAGGATGCAGCAGAGAGAAGAGGTGGTGGAGGATAGAGTAGTCAACGGTGTCAAAGGCAGCAGAGAGATCAAGGAGAATGAGGAGGCAGAGAGCAGCCTGGACGCAGATGGAGAGAATGTTGTTTGTGACAATTCTCACTGTGCCTTTGACCAGGGCAGGCTCGGTGGGGTGGTCAGGCAAGGAATGCTGAGAAAGAACAAAGATGAGAATCTGTGTGCAATACACTGCAAATATATCAGCAACAATCTGACGTCCTGGAAGTTGGCCTCATTTATAACACGGTCCATGAGACAGTAGACCCAGCTGACCACA